TCCGGCCGCCCGGGCCTCTGTCTCACAGGAGGGGAAACGCTCCATGCTAATATAGAAGCCTCAATGATTACCAATATTATTCAGTGTTGTTTATGTTATTCCTTAGGGTTCCGTATTCTATTTATACTATAAAGCAGCCCAAGACCCGTCTCTAATTATTAAGACCCCTACAGTAGGTTTGTTCATGCTTGAATCTTCTGTGAACACTCAGCGATGTGGTAGGGTGCGGCGTGATTGTTGCGATCAGGTTTGTCTTGATTTGGGGCTTGTCAATATTGGATTGGAGTGTCCTTTATGCTGCCTCAACCCATAGAAATAAGAATATGCGTGGCTTTCTTCGTGTTCTGGCAGAGTTCAGGATGTGTGTGTGTGTGTGTGTTTGTGTTTGTGTGTGTGTGTTTGTGTTTATATAAATATATATATATACATATATCTGTGTGTGTGTGTTCAGCGCTTTCTTTAAAGTTGCACTGTAGGATAGATTGCTGTTTGGTAGGTTTGAGGTTTTTGAGCTGTAGGGCTGCTCGATCTACGCTAGGTTGGCCACTCCAAAGCCAAAACCCCAAAAACGAACAAGCACACTCGCAAAGGCTGTGACAAATTGTAGAGTAACTGAAACCCCAAGGCCTATCCCCCCCCTTCCCGGCAATGTAGAGCCCAAGTTTGATTTTCATTTTGCTCCTATAAGGGCCCCGTCAGAAGCCACCAGTTCAGAATGTCTCGAGGTTTGGGATTGTTGAAGGACTCCAACTTTCGTGAATGCCTCGTCCACTGCTTGCTCGAAGAAGCACTGCAAGGTTTAGGGTGTTGGCTTTCGCACAGATTGGCACTAATTCAGCAAGCTCTTCGTCTACAGCCCAAACACCCCCCTAAGAGCTCTGGTAGGGGGCCTTGACGAAACACAATCACCCGTAAGAGCCCTTATAGGAACCCTGAGCTCAGTCCCTGCAGCCCAAACCTAAGAGCTTTTGTAAACTCTACAAACCCCAAGCCTTAAACCCGAATCCCAGACCCTAAACCCTAAACTCCTATAAACCCTAAAATAAGCCTTAAACCCGAAGCCCGAAACCCTCCACACTCAGAGAAATGAGTAAAAGCAAGAGGCTATCCGGCTTCTGGCTTTCGAGGAGGCCAACCTAGCACCGTGCTGGCCTCGGAGGGAGGGCATGGCTTCGGGATGTGCTGGGTTCTTCTGGTCGGTTTAGGGTTTAGGGTTTAGGGTAGGTGCCTTAAGACTTAAGAATAACATTAGCAATAGCAGTGATGAAGATGTGCTGTGGTATAATAGTATTCTGGTGAGTATTAGTATGATGACTATTGTTATTATTATTGTTATTATCAAGATGATTTTGATTATGACCATATGTAGTTCCTCGATTCTGGCCATGACAGGGAGTATTATTCTGATTATTCATCAGCGCCCTACAGCCAAAGCTTAATCGATCCAGGCTGGTTCTCTCCCTGTTGGAGGCTTCCGAGACCTCGGCAGAGGTGGGCGACATCCTGGGCGAGGGGGGTTGCAAAGGGGGGGCTTTCTGGAGGGTTTAGAGGGGGCTTTTCTGGGGTTTGTGTAGGGCTTCAGGGTTTTATGAGGGTCTAACGGGTTGTGTAGCATTGTTGGTTTAAGGGGGGTTCTGTTATGGCTTTATGCGACGGTAAGGTTGAAAGGTTTAGGGGTTTGGTGTCGAAACTTTCTGATTTCATCTCGCTACGTGCCAATAAGTCCAATTGACCCATCTTGTGCGTTACGATAATGGTCTAGTCCCTCAACCCCAAACCTACACCTCTAAACTGTAAACCCCAAGGGCCCAAGACTCTAAGCTGCGAGCGTAGACCGCAGCCGCCGCCGAACAAACTGTTGCAGGCGAGCCCGGCAAGCTTCTGACATTAGTCGAGAAGTCAGCATCAGTTCTTCCGTGACGTGGACTTTACGGCCCCCAGACAGCCAAACTCCAAAGCTTGATGGGTCGAAGTTGCGCCAGCAAATCGTTTGATTTCGAGCTGTACCTTAACACCCTCTCAGCCAAACTCTGAACCCTGAGCCCTGAACCCTAAAACCCTATAAACCCTGAACCCTAAAACCCTAATCCCTAAACCCTAAACCCCTAAACCCTGGACCCCAGACCCTCAAAACCCTACACAGCAAACAATGAATGGAAGATCCCCACCCCTTCTCCCTGGTTCTTAGTAGGGAATGGGGGTTATAAGTCCCTGAATATGGGTTATAACTATGGTTACCCTAATTATAACCCCACTTATAACTTATAACTGCCTTTCCGGTGAGCCCAAGGAGGCCGCGGTTGCTTGGCTTCGCTTGGCACTGGATTTCCGGGAGATAGCGGCGCTGAAGGAGGCGGCGGCTTGGGTTTAGGGTTTCGGGTTTAGGGTTTAGGGTTAGGGTTAGGGTTTAGGCTTTCCAAATTACGATTCCAGCTGCGGCAACAAGTACCCAGATCCCCATGTCAGTAAAGCTTAAGCTTCGTAAGGTCGTCCGGGTTGACATACAAAGCAGCTTTTGGGGAAGGGTTGGCGATGGAATGTTGACTGTTTCGACATGCAGGCCTTAGGTTTGAGGTTTGGGGTGCGGGTTCAGGGGTTGATTGGTTTAGGGTTCAGGGGGTTAGGGCTCAGGGTGTTTAGGGTTCCCATAGCCCTAAACCCGAAACCCTATACCCCGAAGCCTTGAACTTACATAGCAGTCTTAGAGTATGCTAGCATATAGTAGCATAATACCGTTATAATGTAAAGTATAATTATGATATGATAGTATACTCATACAGTAATAGAAGGATTGGTATCATAACATAATAGTGTAATAATCATAAACATAAAAAATAAGCAATATTAAGAACCATGATAGGTAATAACAATAATAGCAACAACAACAACAACAATGACAATCATAGTAACAATAATAAGAACCATGATCATAATAACAATACAATATTACAATATGACAATCCCAGAGCCAGCATAGACCCGCAGGGAGAAGCTGCTCGTCTGCTCGTGGAGTCCCACTTGGCATGGCCCTTGGCTGTCCCAAACCCGATCTAACTAAGGGGTTTAGGGTGTAGGGTTCAGGGTTTAGGGTTTAGGACGGGTTTTGGGCTTAGAGGTTTAGGGGTTAGGGGTTTAAGGCTTAGGGTCTAGGAGTTTCCGGTCTGGGGTTTAGGGTTTAAGGGTTTAGGATTTAGGTAAGGGGTTGGGAAGGGAAGGGTTTCGTAGGGTCTGTTCCTGGGTTTATTGTGGCCTACTTCTAGAGCTTTCAAAGCTTCGAGGCTGTGTCGAAGACAGGTAGCATCGAGGAGGAGCAGCTAACCCTGTCAAGGTGACCAAGGATCAGACCAAGGTTTATTCCCAGTGCTTCGCTCGCATGGGCTGGAAGCTGAAACATACCACGGATGAAGCCAAGAAGTTCGCCAAGGGGGGGGTGCGGCCCAGCAACATCGAAACGGTGCTTGACACGCCATGGAAGCCCAGCAGAAGCTATTCAGTGATGCCATGGGCCTCCTCAAGAAGTGGGGGAAAGGAAGACGAGACCACAGTTTGAGGAAGTTTCACCAAGGGCAGCCAGAACAAATCTGGACTCAGGGTCTCATACTCTGTGAGAGCAGCAGGCTTGGTCATTCACTGATTAGCTGGCTTGTCGGAGTTACTAGCACGCTGAATTCCCGACTGTTTAAACCCTAAACCCTATATCCCTAAACCCTAAACCCTTTAAAAAAGAAACCCTAAATCTTATAAAGGACCTTCAACAAGGAAGCCTAACTCCCGATCCTTCAACCTCAAGTCGACGTGCCAAGTCTAGAACCGAAGCATCAAAGCTCACCACCATGGGCCCAATTTAGGGTTTAGGGTTTAGGGGTACAGTTTAAGAAAGTTGCTTCAACGGATTCGGGCTTGTACCGTGTAGGTTTAGGCTTAGGCACAATGTATCGACCCCAGGCATAATCAAATGCTAGCTAAGCCTTGTAGTCTAAGCCGAAGCCCATCCCTAAACTCATTCCTAGACCCTCAACCCTAAGCCCTAAACTCCAAAAGCCAAGAGTTCCACGGGTCCTGCACAGCGGGAACCCCAAGCAAGGGCTGTTGTACTGGTCGTGTTATTGCTCTATCAGCGCAAGCACGCAAATACTATTGCCAATGAGATTTAGGGGGTTAAGGTTTAGGGTTTAGGGTTTAAGTTTAAGCGTGTGGTATTCCCCGACGTGAGCCTCTTGATTTCGTCGCCTATGTTACCTCTGATCTTGTTGAACCTCGAATCCGGCTGAGCTGAATAAGCAAGCCGGACACACCATCAGGGTGAATCTCTAAATTAGAGTACCTTTGTTGGGCCCCCAGTATAGTACGGCACCCTTATCAAAAAGGACCCCCAAAGGTACCCTAATTTAGAGATACTAACCATTAGCAAACTCAACAAGGCGCGCATCGCCGTTGTCAAGGCAAGCACATCCGGCTACGCAGCGTCCCCAGAGAGTTTCACAACCCTAAAATCCTTGAACCCTAATCCAAAACATAAACCCCATAATCCGTAAACCGTAAACACTACACCGTAAGCCCCAAACCCTCTTCCCTAAAACCCATAACCGCAATTAATCCCTAGACCCCACACCCCCCTAAACCCAGAATTCGGATCAGAGACTTTGGTCATCAGGTTTGCGGATTCGGGTGTGTTTCGGCCTCTTAGGGCCTCGGGGGTGTTTTTTTGTTAGGGCCTTAGGGCGTTAGGGTAGTTTGGGATGCCCTAAACCCTAAACCCTACAGGGTTAGGGTTTAGGCCGAGGGCTTTTGGTTGCGGGGTGCAGCTGAGGCTTGGCGGCTTCAGGGCACTGAGGGCTTCAGGGTTTAGGGCTGAGGGCTTAGGGTTTAGGGTTTAGGGCTGAGGGCATTTTGTGGATTCCACTGGAGCAGAAGTTTACAACTGGAGCCTTGCTGGCTTCTCTCTGCGACCACCACTGCCGGCAAAGCTCACACTCAAGCTTCCGATCTGCTGTCATGCCATGGCAGACACCGTAGATAGCAGTCTTCCGGCATCCATTCTACATGGCTGCTGCTTCGAAACAGATCGGCTCCTTGTGCAGGAGTTCAAGCCAACCTTCGCGCGCTGGCATTCTGCAGCTGAATCAAAGGAACATGAGTTTGACGTTGCCTCTGTTGTTGTCGCCTCACTGCTCACCGAAGAGGCTCATTCACCAACGGCCAAAAAATCAAGTAGACCCAATAGATCTCGAACTAAAGCCTGGTATAAGCCGAAAAATCGAAATCCTGCTACCCCCCCAAGTGCCTGCGCGACTGAGTTTGCAGGTGACCAAGCCACTCCCACCTCATTGGCAAGGCCCTTACTCACCAGACAGGGCCAGGCAGTGGATGTGCGACTTGATCGATGAACCCATGACCACGCTGCTCTTTGCGGTGTCCAAAGAGCGTGGCACAGGAGACACTGAAAGACCCTGCGTTCTTGTTAGGGAAGCTCTTTCGTTTGCATTACTTGAAGGAGGATGTGTTGTAGAGAGCATGCTTTCTTCGCTACAGACACCGAAACTAAGCTCCTCAACCATAACCCAGGAAGTGGGGACGAGGACGATGCTTTGAAGATGGCTTCTGACTCAATTGTTGGACTAGTGATCGCTTTCGAACTGGCCGTGGAGGGATCTGGCTTCCAGAAGGACATTCGCTTGGGCTACCTGCTGTCTGAAAGGTTCTGGGGCCAAGGCTTTGCATCAGAGCTCGTGTAGCTTGGTAGCCAGCATCTGTTCTGTCTGGTATAAGGTCGATACTACATACGAATGCTGGCTGTGCCGGGGCATGTTCCATCATACATGAATAAGCACACACATTGGGCAGAAACAAACATGCTGAGGAGGGGGTTTGTCAGCTGGTGCCGGCAGTTCAATGGAACTGACACACGACAGATTGCCTCCATTATTGGTGGAGTGGCTCGGACGAACGTGGCATCCAAACGCGTCCTCGTGAAGAATGGCTTCCAAAGCATCAGCAGCGGAAGTCCCTCGACAGACGGCGAAGACGAGCCGGAAGAAGAGGAGTTCCACTTGCAGCTCATCGGCTGATCCGGCTGCTGCACTGCTTTGCTCTCCTAACGATGATGGCATTGGTTCGTATTCTGAGTGTTGTCAGCCATTCCCCAAATTCTTCACACTTGTTATATGAACTGGAATGGCCAGAGGTCGGAAGCCTGCCAAAGGAGTGGGCAAACACCACCAGAGCTTTGTCAGAGGAGTTTCGCTGGCAGCAGTGGCAGCATTTGCTGCCGGACGCGAGGAGGAGCCGGAGGAGGTTCACCACGACAACAGCGACGGATCGGCACCGAAAACAAGGGACCAGACCTCACCGCCAAAATAGCTTCTGGCACTCAATTCCCTCATCTCGGAATGTCGAATCACAACGCCATCCCTCAACCTGCATCCCACTCTGGGACCCTACAGCCATGAACCAGGTCTATGCACCCCAAAACTCGCTGATCCACAGTTTCACGGTCTAAGTCTTGGGTCTAAGGGCTCTTGCAGCGCCGGGATTCGGATTCAGGGGTTCAAAGCCTCGGGGCTTCGGGCTTCTGAAAGCATGGCTTGAGCCCCTGCTCCTAGCAACTGGGCTGTGGCTCCTACTGTCTGTGCTGCTGCTAGTTCACTAGGTTCTTTAAGGCATGGCTTCTGTTCGTATTCCAGCTGCAAAAGGGTCATACTTGCTTTCGCACCGCCGCTGCTTGCATAAATGACCACATCAACTGTGAGTATCTTTTCACGTTCTTTCTGGCAGACCCGAACCCGCAGACCAGAAGCCTTCCACGAATTGACATCTAGGGGTTTGGAGTGTGACAGAGGGGCCTTGATGAATTGAATAGGTGGTGGGGGGGCATGCTATAGTCGCACTTTTATGTTGAGGAAGGAACCCCATGACCAGTTACTATTGTTCAGACCCTAAACCCTAAACCCTAATTGGCCCGTAGATAGGGGCGCGGGAAGGTGCACCGACTGCTGACGGCGCTGCTGCCCGAAACAGCAGGCAGGTTACGCAGAGAATGTGGGGGATCGGCGGGCCTTTTCTGGCTTAAGGTTTATACGGCTTCCGGATTTTACGCCTTTAGAGCTGCCTTTTTTCCAGGTTTTTTTGAATCGTCGGGTGGAAACGACTCATCGTTCCTGGTTGGCCATCACGAACCCTGGACCGGTTCAAGAATTAAGGAACAACTACTTGCACGGTTTAGGGTTTAGGGTTTACTGGATCCTTCTTATGCCGTTGGTTCGACGGGTTTCAGACGCTTTGATACTGGACTGCACAGGTTCGGTAGTCGGGCGTTGCCATGTTCTACGACCCAGGCTTCCTTCCTAGGGGTTAGTTTTTGGGGAACCCGATATCTTTAGCCCGAAAGCCCTGAACCAAGTGTACCAGCTTGCTGGTCAGTTTGTCTAGAGCGTCAGAGCTGTACAAAGCTCCCCGTCTCTGGATTATAGCAGATAGCAGGTCGTAGGAGCTTAGATACTTGCTATCTTAGGGTTCACTATCGTAAGGAGAAGATAAGATAGTCAAATCTACATAAGGACCTACAAAGCCCAATTTCATAACTCTCCAGGAGACCGCTTCCTTCGGGGTCTCTACTCTAGAACGGTGTTGAGTGTTTGGGACATTGCGGGTTTAGGGCCTTCCTCCCTCCCTCCCTCCCCTCCCGCCTAGAGTATGGTTGCTACTACCCCTGTTGTTGCGATTGCTACACTTCATTCGTTGTCCTGCACTCCAAGATCTGCGAGGAAGCTACCAAAGCCTGAAGTCGAAGCCCTACAGTGTTCTGCAGCCTCGAATCTTGAGAGCTTGCGCTATTCCCTCATGCAACCAGAGAAACTAGAAGCCAACCATCTGGCACGGTGAAAGCCAGCCCCCCTGCGAAATCCACTCGCAAACCCCCAAGACTCGAACCTGAGCTCAGGGATGGATGCCGCTTCCAGTGTGCTTTCTGCAGTTCTTCGGAATGCAGCTCCTGAGCCAGGAAAGCTTGCCTGCACGTGCTTGCGACATGCGTACCTAACTTCATAAGTATGGAACTGTTCCAATATAAATTGAAAGTCCCACGATGCTGCGCATTGTCTGTCAGCGGGGGTTTGTGTTCACAGTTTTAGGGAGGGACATGGCTTCCAGCTTAGGCAGCAGTCCGGAGGTCGGAGGTGAAGATGCGACGTTCCACGGAAGTTCAAGTGGCGCTGCATAGGGTTTCGTGTTCAGGGTTAGGGATTAGTTTAGTCTGTCAGGGACTCTATGGCAATCAACAGGAAGCATCATTACCATAAGCACAGTTGTAGCGACAGAAAATCACTGAATGCTGATCTCACGAGTGGTAATTGCAACGCCAATGCTACGCCAATACTTCTTTCTAGCCCCTGCACGGTTGAGAAGTCAACAGTCAGACGGAGATAACCGTCACCATCATCACCACTTGCGATCATGGTTCTATCTTCATCACCGGCACGACTTCTTCAGCAAACTTGCACAGACAAAACCCCTTAAACCGCCAAATCCTAAATCCTGACCCCTAACCCCCAAACCCTAAACTCCAAGTTCGGGTTTTAAACCCTGAGCCCTATCTAAAGCCCTGAACCCAAGAGGCCCGAGGGTGCTCCAAACCTGCTGGCTTCGGGATTTAGGGTTTAGGGTTTAGGGTTGAGGTTTGAGGGTGTTTAGGGTTGAGGGTTTAGGGTTCAGGATTTAGGGTTTAGGGTTGAGGGTTTAGGGTTTAGCCCCTACAGCCGGTCCTTTTGCTGCGCAGGCAATTCTCAGGCTCGACCTCTGAACCGCAGAAGCCAAGCCTTCAGGAAATTCCTAGGTCATTGACATCCCAAAAGCACCTAGTAGAAAGCAGCACGCACGGACTATGTCATGCGGGTTCCATGTTTACCAAGGCTCCAGATACGTAGTTTCGCGTCGGTTGCCAGCTATGGGCCGACTCCTGTCTCGATGTTTTTTCCCCCTATCTTTAGGGTACAGGGTTTAGGGGTTCAGGGTTTAGGGGTTTAGGGTTTAGGGTTTAGGACAACTCAATTGATGTCGATGTTGCGAACATCTAGGGCATGCTAGTAGTCCGACATCGAAAATCTGGAGCTCTTCAACATCTTCCTTACGACCCCTACACTAAATAAGCCCTCAAGGCTAATTTGTAAGCCCCACTGAACCCTAAAGCCTCCGACCTCATACGGGGTAGAGAGCGTAATATAGAAGCCTAAAATCTTTACCATTACTATTCCTTAAGGCTCCTTTTTTATAACTATGCTATAATTGCTATAACTAAAGGAACCCAAAACCCTACTCTAATTATTAAGGCCCCTACATTCTCTGCCCCCATGGTCTTGATCTGTTGTCCCGGCCAAAAAGGTCAAGGAGTCCGTCTGACTGCACAGCAGTCATAATCACAAACGGACGAGTTTGGGGACTTAAGCCCGGAAGCCTCGTCAAGAGCATAAAACACCCTAACCCACTCTCCTTAACCCCAAAAGGCTCTAAAGCCTGAAACCCACCAAAAGAGACCCTCAACCCTATATTCCCTTAACCTCAAAAGCCCCAAGAGGCCTTGCATGCAGGCACCCAGATTGAGCTGTGGCCGCTTCTCTCGGAAGCTCTCCGCCTATGGCCTACGCCCAGGCCAAGACATTTCACAGAGGGGTTTAGGGTTTAGGGGTGTAGGGTTTAGGGGTTTAGAGGTTTGGGGTTTAGGGTTTAGGGGATTAGGGTTTAGGGGTTGTAGACACTAAGGGGTTAGGGTTGGAGGTTACTGATAGCTTTTCGCTACGGTTGGAGTCATCGGGTATAGGGTTTGGGGCTGCTTGGGTTTAGGGCTTGGCTCCTTGGGTTTAGGGTTGAAGGGCTCCTGGGGTTTGGGGCTTTTAGGGCTCCTTGGGTTTGGGGTCTAGGGTTAAGGTTTTGAAGTTGGAGAGTGCAGGGGGTAGGTCTACATTTCACAAAGAAGACAAGGACCATTGAAAGGGGCCATAAAGACTATCCCAAACCAAGACTAAATCCCAAGAAGCCTTAGGTAATTCGAAAGCCTCTGAGTTTCCCCAAGGTCGAGTGATGTCCAGGGTTTAGTAGGGTTGAGGTCAAGCAGCAGAAGCGCTGGTGTCACCGAAATCCTCCGTAAAACGCAAATTCTACTTTACAACAAATCCAAGGCAAAATGCAGTAACCATACTCCCCAATCGTAAACCCCAGAGCCCTAAACCAACCATTCTTACACCCGAAATTTTAAATTAAGATCTCTGATTCCTTAGTCCCCAGGCTCACTGCCCTGGTTCTCGCCGTGCTGCCTCGCGTCTTCGACAACCTCTCCGCAAAAGCCTTGGGAGTGCTTGCAATGTGTATATTATATATACATATATATATATACACACATGTATATTTATACATACAGATTCTAGAGTGACTGGTTGTGTTTAAATAAATATCTGTTTGTACGTACACACACACAGAGAGACACACATGTGTAATTAGACATACATAAATATGTGCGTATATGTATATATGTACATGTGTGTGTGTGTGTGTATATATATATATATGTATATGCTACCCTCTCCAAGACATGCCTCAGAAGCCAAGCTGGTAATAATTGCGCCTCCGGAAATCGTGCTATCCCTGTTGCTACTTCTCAAAACCCTGTTTCTGCCACACTCCCGCGTACGTTTTGATGTACGGCTCGTGTAGATACCACGGAGCGGTGTATGTTCTGGAGTGCCTCTAGTGCTCCCGCCATAGTGCAGTGCGTATATAGTTTGGAAGGGTACGTTGGGCTTGGACTGCTTGTCTTTCAAAACAAGCATCATGCAGTTGGATCTACTCGTGGGCAACAGGGGTTGGGGTCAGGATGCTAAGCCGAATTTATGGAACACAAGATTCGTCCTAAAGGTTTTCCGGTAGTCTTGGTTCTTGGTTCCGGGGCCCTGTGTTAATTAACACGTCCGGGGCCCAAGTGCCGGAACGAAGATTGTCCGGAAACTTTGATGGGGAATCGTGGTTCTTGGTTCTTGGCTCCAGGAGGGGACCGTTCTAGTTACCACGGCCCGTGCTAATTAACACGGGCCATACATACCTACATTCATTCATTCATTCGTACATACATTCATACATTCGTACATACACACATACATACATGCATACACACATACATACATACATACATACATACATACATACATACATACATACATGGGTATGTATGTATGTATGTATATATATATATTCTCCCTAGAGCTCGAAACCTCTTCAGGTTTCGGATGTAGTTTACGGCTTGAGCTCCAAACCCAAACTACAGCCGAGGCCGGGACCTTGGAAGCTCATTGTTCCAGCACTAGGTTTTTCTAGAAAAACTAGGGTTTTCTAGAAAAACCAGTAGAATCCTCTTCAGTCCATGTTCCTGGGTTTAGGGTTTAGGGTTTTCCTGTTTTGTAAGCCCTAACTCCTCCTACAGTCTCCATTGTAGTTCCTGTTCTTGGTTTAACCAATTCTATATTAAGGATCCTAAAAGGTAACCCCCAAAAGGAACTACAATGGAGACTATAGGTAATCCTCTTGAGTCCAATGTTCCTGTTTGTAGGAACCATGAACCTTAAACCCTAAAGCTCACTGTAAACGCCTCAGTGAGTAAATTCGAAGTCCCTGTTGCTCTGTAAGCCCGTTTACTTCAAGCCTGGAAAGTTGAACATGTTCGGGGTCTGAACAAGTAGATATGTACATATACTTATATGTATATATGTAGGTAGTTCTCCGTAACGGCATGCGGCACACTTGTAAAAGAGAACCAGGTTCATTTTTAGTTTAGTGACGAAGAATATGAATAACATGAAGACCAACCCTAACCCCTCAACAAGAAGAGCGCAAGCTTTGCAGGTGCAGACTCCCGATGGCTGTGTGAAAGGCAGCCGTGTGCTCCCCGAGACAGGGCTGAATGATTGGTTTCTGTGGTGTGAGTTGGACCCGGCTTAGGGTTTCGGGTTTAGGGAAACCCTAAACCACTGAGCCCCAAACTGCAGAGGTTAACGAGGCTTAGGGCTTGGGACTTGGAGTTCATGGTCTGAGGTACGCGCTCGAACCGCACTGGGTTTAGGCTGCAGGACTTCTGTAAAGCTTGGTCTTTGACACCCTTTGTGCTCTGATGCTTGCTCCAGCAAGAAGTCAGCCTCCTTCTAAGTTCTTGGATATTATATATATATGTGTGTGTGTGTGTGTATGTATGTATGTATGTATGTATGTATGTATGTATAGATATACACATATGTACGTATATTTATATATATATATATGTACAATATAGGTCATCGCATATGTATATATATATATATATGTACTCTGCTTTATCACAGTGTGTTATGGTGTATTTTTATCCTTTCGCAGGTTCAGAAGTAAAGAAATCAGGCTTGTTCGCGTAAGCAATGTGGTCAACCAAAAACAGCATTGTCAATTGCAGCTAGCCAGACGCGGCACGTACTTGCTGAATACAGCGGTGATGCTACCAAGTGAGTTGAAGGCTCTGTCTCGCCACCTCGACCTCCAAACCAGCTTCCACAATTACGGATCCTGTAACCCAAAGCCTCGAACTCTGAACCCCAAACCCCAAGCCCGAAACCCTAAAGCCTAGGCCTTAAACTTAAACCGCAAAGCCCTACTGGAATCTCTCTGATATGTTCTAGCTCCTGACCTTCTCTGAAATGTTCTAGCTCTTGAGCCCAAGGGCCTTTCAGGTCTCTTAGCACGATGAGCAGAATCTCGCGAAAGGGAAGCATATTCTAAGACCCTACACCCGCGGCTATCCCTGCGTCCTAAACTTAACCACTTCGCTCCATGCCTTCTGTCCTCTCTCCAAAATGGGAGTTTCCGACTATTAGGGAACCTTATTTTGGGGTCCTCAAAATAAGGAGCCTACTATTTAGGGTACTATATTAGGGTCCCCTCTTTTCGGAAACCCCCAAATCTGGATCTCCTCACCCTGAGGCCTCGATTGCAGCTCGCCTGCTGGACCGGTGAACTTTAGCGTTCGAAGTCCGGCGCGGTGCTAAGTGAGGGCGATGAGCACGCGATAGAGGTTTGGGATTTCGAGTTTAAGGTTTGGTGTTTAGGATCCAGGGTTGCGGGTTTTTGGCTTAGGGGCTGATAGGTTGAAAGTTTAAAGTTCTGCTCTGTATAGATGGGTACAACAGTCCTGACCGCCACAGTGCGTGCACCGGTCCGGTTTGCAACATGTTTCCAGTATTCGCAGCTTGCTGCAGTTGCCTGCATGCCTGTGTTACGGTGGCGAAACCCCTCTGGAGTTCGTTCATGGTTGTGCTTATACACCAGTCCGTGCACCCCAAGCCCCGAACATCATGATCTCTATCATGATTAACTATTATTGTTTCTGTCGTTGTTGATAGTAGAAGTCGAAGGCACAACAGTAGTAGTAGTAGTAGTAGTAGGAGTAGTAGGAGTAGTAGTAGTAGCAGTAGTAGTAGGAGTAGGAGTAGGAGTAGGAGCAGCAGTAGCAGCAGCAGCAGCAGCAGCAGGCAGCAGGAGGAGGAGGGTTGTGTCTATTCCGGTTTACTCCTGTCCTTATTGTCATGGTTAGTGTGCTGATTATCATTTATTCGCGTAAATATTATTCTTCTTGCTGAAGTGTTGTGTGGTCGAGCATGTCGGACGGAGCAGAAGCACTTCTTTCGTTGCAGACCTGGGGAAGCTTCTGCTGACTGCAAACCATGCGCTTCAGACCTGCATCGAGTCCCACTATTCTTTCCCACGAGCGACCATTTGAAACGACACGGCTTGGACCTCATCTGCCTACAACCCTGACCCTTATCCTACACTCTACTTAAGCCCTAGCCTCTGCCCAATCCTCGCACGATATCAAGAGCCTGACCGCTTCGCCGAGGTGCTCAAGTGCATGCACTGCCTGTTCTGCTGTGCTCCTGCGAAGTTCTCGGGAACTTGGGATTCAGATTCGGGGTCGTCACTGCCTGGGTGAGGGCTCAAGGTTTGTTTAGGCGTTGTGTCGATTCTTTCCGCTTGCCTCAGAGGTTTGCTCTTGCCGCGAGCCCCAAACCCCAAGAAGCCGGCAGGCAAACCCACTCCAGACAACATCCAAAACACCTCCAAACTCTGATGCCACCGGAAGCACTTGCAGCCAAACCTCGAAGACAACGCTTTGCAGGTCAACCCACATAGTAAACTCCACCGAACAGGAAACCATAAAGCCTGCTATACCCTTGATCCTGAAGTCTGCCAAGCCGCAAGGCGAGGCAGATAGTGCACGCGACAGGAGGTTAGGCTCTTCAAGAACAACAAACAAACCCTAAAACCCTCAATGTATCAGGGTAGTCAGGGAGTGAGGCTTTAGAGTTCAGCCCAAACCGGAACCCCACTAAAAATAGTGATTTAGGGTTTTGGGCTCTGGGCTTCGAAATAGGCAAAACGGCTCAAAACTGTAGAGCTTTTTTTGGGCGGGACTTTTAGGCTGAGGGTCCGAGGGCAGACTACCTGCCTCGTGAGCAGGAGTGCTGGCTTTGGGGTTTCGACATGTAGGCCTCTTTGCCTAAACATGTCGGGGAAAAAGAGACGGTTTTCCCAAGATGTTTAGGCAAAGAGGCCTCTTTGCCTAGATTAAACATGCATGGCATGGTGTACCTGCAACCGCGTCGAAATGACATCATCAAGGCCAACTTGTCCCTCTACCGTAATTCCTGGACCATGGAGCCCTGAATCCAAACCCCCAGACTCTATGGACACGTCAAAGGGCCATTGAGATCAAAACCGCACCTTCATATGTACAACCCGTTGAGTATATGTGTTATGTTATCGCATATTACAGTGTCCTGGCTTATATTAGACTATTAAAGAATATATTATTCCGGGCCAGAAGCATCCCGAGAATCTCAGGAAGTTCCGTACCTTCAAACGAAGCCTGAAACCCTCTAGGCTGTATCTCCAAAAGCCTTCAATTGCCCTGAACGCCGTAATCTACGAACTCTGAAACCCGCAAGCCCGAAACCGTAGCATGGCGACTATGCCCGCGCAGCCGAGCACCCTGAGCCGCGTGTGCGTCGATGAAGCTGGTGGTGTCCATGTTGAGTGGCAGGGAGGCAATTCCGAAGGGTCATGTGCTAACTTACATACTTCGTGCCAAGCGAGTAACCCTTCTCCTCTTCCTGATCACCACCACTATCACCACGACGGTTACCAACATGGTCATGATGAAGATCATCATCATCATCATCACTACCATCATCAGGGTGACTTAGTCATTAGTTGCAGCAACGGCAGCAGCAACGACAAGGGTACTGACTCCAGTTTCACTGTTTGTACATGTTGGATATACATGCAGAAGAGATGCAGAGTTCAAGGTTTGAGCGATAGGTTTGTCGTTACAGGTTCGGGTTGAGGTGTGCCAGCGCAGTCGGCAGTGAGAATGCCTAAGGGCCGACGTTGTCACACTCTACTAACTTATAGAGGCTGCAAGTCTTCCTGTCATCAGGTCCAGATCGAAATTGAGGATGCTACCACCATCCGGGAGCTTCGAAGACGAGCACAGAAAGAGCTCGGATTCCTTCTCTCCGGCCTTGTCCGATCCAGCTACGATCTCCCCAGCAGCCTGACACTGGAGAAAGCAGGGTTAAAGGATGGGGACATGGTGACAGCTGTGGTGAAGTCGGATGGAATCGCCAGGTCGTGTACAGGCTTCGCGCTGGTGCGCTCCGACATGTCCGTGGTGACCTGGGGCAGGTTCGGTGAAAACCCTCCCACTTCCTTCGCTCTCAGTGGTGTGGAGCTCATATTTGCAGAATGGTGCGATTTCTGTGCCATCTTAGCAAATGGAACTGTGCTCACCTGGGGCGAGTCGAGCCCCCCTCCCAGCAAAGTCGAGCAGCAGCTCGCACATGCGGAGACCATTGACTTCTCCATGCTGGCTTTTGCTGCTACTCTGTCAGATGGCTCTGTCGTGACCTGGGGTGAGACAGATTTTGGAGGTGACTGCAGCGACGTGCAGGATCAACTGAAGAATGTGCAGCTGATCTGGGCTTCCGATTCTGCGTTTGCGGCACATAGGACAGACGGTTCGGTAGTCACATGGGGCGATCCAGATGCAGGTGGCGACAGCAGTGCTGTGCAGGAAAAGCTAAAGTGTGTGCAAGACATGAACTGCACGTGTACTGCATTTGTGGCAATCTGCTCAGATGGCTCTGCCGTGGCTTGGGGCAATCCTCGGAATGGCGGCGACAGTAGTGCGGTCCAGGATCAACTGAAGAGTGTGCAGTGCATCCAGGCATCCGAAACGGCCTTTGCAGCAATTTTGAAGAACAGGCGCGTGGTTACTTGGGGCGACCCTGGAGGTGGTGGTGACAGCAGCCCCGTTCAACATCAGCTGCGCGATGTGCGCGCGATCTTAGGGAACCGAAGCGCCTTTGCGGCCATCTTGGGCAATGGATCTGTGGTTACTTAGTAGCTGAATGAGTACACTTTATAAACTTTTTGGGCTTACAGAACTGAAAGTGTACACTTTTTTGTGCTACTGAATCAGCAGCTAAGGTTACATGGGGAAGTCCTAAACCCTAAACCCTAAACCCTAAGGTTACATGGGGAAGTCCTAAACTTCCTAAACCCTAAACCCTAAACCCTAAGGTTACATGGGGAAGTCCCGGCGATGGTGGCGACAGCAGCTCCGTTAGGCAGCAACTTCGGGGAGTTCGGGCCATCCAGTGACATGGCCGTTCTTGAAAGTACCTATAGTCTCCATTGTAGTTCCTTCTTTTGGTTTAACCAATTCTATATTAAGGATCCTAAAAGGTAACCCCAAAAAGAAACTACAATGGAGACAAAAGGTAGATGAAAGTCCCCCAACCCCCCCGGTACCTACTATATAGGGCCCTAGGGGTTCTAGTACCCATATAGTAGGTACCTGGGGGGTTAGGGGTCGATTGCAATCTTGTTTCATACCGGTCTATTCCTTAAGATCCTTCAGCAGGAACGTTTTACGACTTTGGTAGGCTACGTGCATAAGAAAGATCCGAGCGATATCATCTTCGATTGGCCTTCTAAACCCTAGGCCCTAAACCTAAACACTAAACCTGAAACCCTAAACCCTAAACCCTGAAATGAAAGACAACCTAAACCCTAAAAAGCCCCAAGGTGTACGGATCGGGCCTTTGCTGCGATTCGTTATAACGGTTCGGTGGTCACTTGGGGAGACGCCTTTGCCGGCGGAGCCTCGGCTACCGTTAAGTTAGGGTTCGTGGTTTAGGGGAGTGTAACTAAAGTTACCAAGGTTAGGTCCTGAGGCTACAACTGGCTTATGATTTCTGCTTGATTTGCGCTACAGTCCCCCAAACCCCCAAGCCGTTTCAGTTACCACTATGACTAGGTTCCTGAGTAGTACCCTTTTGCCCCTTGTATTTGGGGGTCCCCTTATTAAACACGAACATTAGGAGAAAAAAGGGTACCCTCACTGAGTTAGGGGTCACTCAGGAACCTAGATGAGGCAGAAGAAATTGAGGATATTCGCTCCTCAGGGTAGCTCAGTCTGAACTCGCTCAAGCAGCCTCTATCCAGACCTTCAGGCAGCATGCAACAGACCCTGAGTGGCCTTACCACCCCAGACCTGAGCTCCCAAACCCTTACACCCCGCGACCCTAGGCCCCAGACCGTGACCCCAAATCCCTAAACCCTAAACCCAGAACCCTGAAGAAATATGCATGTCTAAGCCAGCCAGAGCCCAGGAGATAGCAGCCGAGTGCAGGCACAGCTGACGCGAGTTAGCGAGATCCAAGCGAACAGCTTCGCCTTTGCAGCCATCCTGGAGGTGGGTCGGAAGGTTTAAGGTCTATTGGGTTTAGGGTTTGGGGTGTAGGCTTCAGGGTTGAGGGTTTAGGGTTTGAGGCTTGGGGGTTTGGGGGTTTGGGGGTTGAGGGTTTAGGGTTTAGGGTTTGAGGTTTTGGGGGTTTGGGGTTTAGCGTTTAAGTTTATGGCTTAGGGGTGTATGGGGTTTTAGGATGTTGGGGTTTAGGGCTCCGGATTAAGACTTCCGATGTTCAGGGGTTTAGCATGCCTGAGGTCGGTTAGGGATGCTGTGTTTCAAAGCTCTCGCAGAGTTTAGGTTTTAGGGAAGCAGGTTGAAGGAGTGGGGAGTAGCATGTGTGCTTCTGTGTGCTACTATGCTTGTAGAATACAAAACCATGCACCACGTTCGTAACCGTTGCATATAAGAGAGAGAGAGAGAGGGAGAGAGACAGAGAGACAGAGAGATAGAGAGATAGAGAGATAGAGAGATAGAGAGAGAGGCGCAGTAGAACCAATGAAAGGATCACAGTCGTGGTTCGCAATAGAACCATTGCAGAAACTCTATCTTTGACTCTACCGTGTTTTGGACACCCTAAGCCCTAAACCCCAAACACCCAAACGCTAAACCCTAGACCGTACTAAAACATGATTCGTCCGCGGTTCTTGCAGGATGGCTCTGTGAAAACTTGGGGCGATCCGGCTGCTGGAGGCGACAGCAGCGCTGTACAGGCAGATGCTGGGTTCTTATTGAGGAGTTCACTTTAATTTAATAGTTGTCATTAAATTTACGGGATCTATTGGGGGTTTCGATAAGGGATCTATAAGGGTCCTCTAAGGGTTTAGTGTTTAAGTTGCCATAATGTGAAATTTCATTTTTTAGTATAGATCGTTATTTTGGTAACTTAACAGTAAAGAGCCCAGGATCTCATCGATGTCCTGCAGATTCAGTACACGGACCGTGCATTTGCCGCCCTGCGGGCGGATGGGGCTGTGGTGACTTGGGGTGATCCTGAGTTCGGTGCTGATAGCAGCTCCGTTCGGGAGCAGCTCGGACCGGTGCAGAGAGGCGTGAAGCGCCGAAGGGCGCTGCAGGATGCCACGGACACCCCGGCAGATCCTGCGGCCCGATGAAAAGCAGTCCCTTCTAGTCGCGCAATTCAGGTTGTCAGTCGATCAGTCCTGTTGCATCAGCGACTAAACATATCTAATAACTCATTATTCCCTAAGCAGCGTAGTAACATCATGGCTTTTGCATCATGGAAAGGGATGTGGTTCCTTATGGCACGACCCGCTGTGGCGCTGTGTAAAATTCTCGAATGCTGCACGGCTGCGCCGGAGGCCGAATTCATGAATCTAATTCTTCGGTGGCCCCGAATCCCGCTCCTGCCAAAGTGCCGCGCATACTGTCTCTGTGGATGGAGAATCGTGCTCCTGCTGCCGCCCTTTTTGAGTGACAAGTGCTCCAGGTCGCTAAAAACCTGTCAGGGTCACACTTTGAGGCTCCTGCCTTCGGGTTCTCGCCGTTCTAAGCGATTTCGGAACTTAATCGTGCTTTTGCCACAGTGCTGCACGAGCTTTGGGGTGCACGTCGTCTTCCTGCTACATTCCTGTGTTTCCACCCCATTTCATCGTGTTCCCATCAAATTCAAAGCGTCGTGTAGGGTGTTTCTGACTGTTTTTTTTGGATTCGTGGGGGGCGGGGGCGGGAGTAGTCGGTTATATCAGTTTGTCCATGCTTCAGCTAGAATTTCTGATACGTATCCATGGAACCATATGGAACGAGCGGACGGGGCCCCAAAGCTCGAACTCGTGGCCAGGTGCAGTGGCACTGTCAGTTGCAAGCCCGGCACAGGCACGCACCTCAGTGGAAGGATCCGGCCGCTAGACCATGTTGGTGGTTCACTGATTGTGATCCCTTCCCCCTTAATTACAAGCTCAAACCTGATAAGGCAACGGTGTACTGCATCATGAAATCTTCCAACTCCATAGACCAATTTTTGCGAACGGAGGCAGCAAATGAACTGACCCGATCATGTAAAAAGCCATGTCTCGCTTTTGCTTAGGCGTTGACGCACCTGCGGTCTGCCTGCGATGTGCGCGGCCCTGCTGGCAGTGGGTACTGGGATTAGCAGATCCCCTGAGTCTTTTGTCAACCAAATTGGATCTCCTAATCCCCAACACCCTAAACGCCGCGAGGTCACCCGATCCGTCCTGCAAAGTCAGCCTTCTTCTGCCGTGAGCCCAGGAATAAGTAGAGTCTTAGTAATGAAATCGAGGGTTTGGCATGTAGCCTGTCTAACCTGGGAAAGTGTGCAGCTGTGTTGAAATAGAGAGGGCCTACAGCTGGCGATGGATGAAGCAATCTGTTCACTATGCCGCCCTAAACCCTAAACCCTAAGACCCTAAACCCTACATGTGCCAAGCCCTAAAGCCCTAAACCCTATAAACCCCAAAGCCCTGAAGCCCTAAACCCCAAAAAGCCGAAGCCCCTCGACCTGAGCACTGCGTCCTGCATTGAGCAATCCAGGCTCGGGTCCATTGCATCTCCGTTCAGTTCGTGGCCTTCTTGTGCACTTCTCGGCTTTCCAGGGTTTAGGGAGCAGTGACTGAGGGCCCTAGGGTTACTCTTTACAAGAAGTACTGCGAAGCACAAATAGAAAAGATGGTAGCAGTAATAAGAAGAAGCAGAAATAGTTATAATATATGACACAGTCATATAGCATGAGTAGAACTTGCATATTATCAGAGAAACGATGAGACGTCGACGCCGAAGACGATTGCGCACTGTGTTCTTCTACTGCCACCACGACTGCTATGCGTAAGTAACACATACTCGTATTATTTGTGATCACGACGTCTACCATTGAGACTCGGCCCTAAACCTTAACCCCTTAAACCCCTAAGCCCAACCCGGCAGCCTCAACCCCCTCATTTTAAGCTTCAAGCTCATGATCTCCCGTGTTTGACCAGGCAAGCGCTGCTCAAAGCTGCACCGGACACTGGGATGGGGTCGCAAGCGTCTCACGGGGTCCGGATGCAAGCATTGCTTGGGGATGTAAGACTCCCTCACACGACCCCAGATTCACAACCACAGTGTTTTCGGGACCTGGAACCCAAGCGTGTTAGTTTATAGCAAAACAGATGCAGGCTGGTGTCAGGTTTTTGGCTTCAGGTACGGGGCCAAATAAAGTTCGGCGTTCCGGGTTTCGTTTTGCAGGGCAGTCAAAGAACTCGGAAGTGAAAGTCGCAGTTCAAACGGCAGAACTGCCCGAAGCCTCAAACCCCAAAGACCGCAAGCATTAGGTTTCCCAACCGTAATTAGGCTTTGAGGCATGAAGTTGCAGGCTTCTGGTTCAGGGACAGGGCCTTCTGTGTTTGCCTCTGTTTTCGTTGCTTTTGGTATAGGGCTGCGGTTTGGGGTTAGGGGTTTTGGGTTTCTGGTGGATGCAAGCACACGGCCATGCTTGCAAGTTCATCGACGAACCTATCATCAGGCACCACCGGTCCTCAACCACCCACAAGCTGCAATCGCACCTCCGACATCTTGTCACCCTAAACCCTAAGCCCTAAACCCTAAACCCTAAGCCCTAAACCCTAAGCCCTAAACCCTAAACCCTAAGCCCTAAACCCTAATCCCTAAACCCTAAACCCGAAACAGACTCACTCCGAAACGCGCTTTCGGAGGACCTGCGAACCATGCCTCCTCCTCGGCCGGCTCCGCTACCAGACTGAAATTTAGAGGTTTAGGGGTTAGGGTTTGTGGTGTAGGGTTTAGGGTTTAGGGTTTAAAGTTTAGGATTTAGGGTTTAGGGAGAGTTCTTCCAGGAGTCCATAGGGGATCGGATTTAGGGGTTCGGGGTTCTGCATTAGTTTAGGGCTTGAAGGGACTGCTGGTAGCTGATCCCGGCTTTGGGTGTCGTGTTAAGGGCTTCGGTTGTAGATGTCTACGGCTTTGCGGGCTTGTTGAGTTTAGAGTTTAGGGATTCAAGATGGGCGTGCGGCTTAGAAGGTGGTGGACTACATGTGCATGTCTGCAGGGTTCAACAGTTTAGAGTGGATCAACGTCCTATGGTAAGATAGGAAGAAAGATGCTGACAGCCACAGCAACAAGCAAGCAACCGGTGTACGTTGGTGCACGCAATGATGTGCTTCAAAGTCCATCGGCACAGCAATGGTTATCGATACGAAACCCACTTCATGTGCACAGATGATTATTGCGGCGCATGTTGCGTTTGCTTATCGTGTTTTCCACGGGTCTCGTATGCCCAGGGCTTCAGACCTTTGTAGTTGGAGTACTGACCGGTGGGGCAACCCCGTAACTCAGAAGCAGCCTCATCTGATGTTCATCTGCGTCGTACTGTATGCACAAACATTGTACCCTAAATCTCCAACCCTAGCAAGCTGAAGGGTTAGACCATACCTTGACCCCCGCAAGCCTACCATTTAGGGTTCCTTTTTGTTTGATGAGTTCTTTCATACAAGTCCTTTATAACAAATGTAGGGTTTTCGCGGGGTGGAGGCAGAACCTAGGGCCTTAATATTCGGGCCTAAACAAGTACCAATACCATCTTGGGGACATATTTAGGCACGTATGTTAACCCTAAACCCTAAGCCCTAACCCTAAACCCTAACCCGATTTTAAACCTGAGCCCTGGTATAAACGCTTAGAGCGCCAAGGTTGCGTGGAGCCAAGCTCTTGCTGCAGGCTCTTCGCAGGCGCTCCGACTAATAAAGAGGCCCCCAATAATTAGAGTCGGGTTTGGGGTGTGTTAGAATATGATTATGATAAGAAGCCCCCCAAAACAGTATAGGTAATTATTAAGGGCCTTATATTTCGCTAAACATGCGCTAATCCCTCAACCCGCAGATCTCTTCCTCCGTATCCCGTGCTTCGGGTTTCGGTGCAAAGTAGACCCCGCCCAAAAAAGTTGGAAACCGGATTAAGGACAATTAGTGCTGGGATTCTGCAGAATCCCTACACATTACTCTTAAGGGTTGAGGCTATTGGGTTGCCAACTTTTGGGGTTCTATGGTACATGGGCCATGATGTCCCAAGAGACCAGAGTTTGACTTCTGGGTTTGGGGTGCTGGGATTGTTTTTGTGTCGGAGTGTAGGTTTCCATGTTTGGAGGTGTAGGGTTCTACTTGGAGGTTCATGGGTAGCTATAAGTAGGGTTATAAGTCCCCTAATATGGACAGTTACCCTACTTATAACCCACTTATAACCACCCATGAACCTCCAAGTAGGGGGTTCTGGAAGCTCTTCGGACCTGTTGTGTTGCATATCTTTCTCAGTTGTGACATGCAGGGCTGGGCGCTCAGTCTAGGACATTTTCAGGTGGGTAGTTACCGTTATCGGAGCCTTATAGAAGGTCTATGCACCTTATAGAAGCCCCATATACCGTCAACTCCCCACAGGTAGTTTCCTTTAACTCAGAGTTCTGGAATCTTCAGGTCATTTAGGGGGAAACAGGGTTTAGGGGTTGGAGGTTTAGGGGTTTAGGGGTTTGGGTTTTAGGCGTTGGGTTTCTTGGGATGCCAGGACGGGGTCTTCGTCGGATCGTCTCTTTGCTCTGGGCCCCTGAAGGATTGACTTTATTCTGGAGCACCGGCCGTAGCAGGTGTTCAAAAAGCCACGAGCCCGGATGAGTTCGGAGATCCCACGCAAGCCCGTTCAGCAAGACATGAGACCCGATGAATTCTGATCCCATTCAAACCCGGAAAACTGTCAGGGGCAGTTTGCGACAGTAGAATAGTAAAGGGTTCTAGCTCTAAAGAGGCAGCATCTCGCAAGACTGTGATGTCACAAGTGAAGCTCTGGTAGTGTCTTTACCACGTGTGCGTGCCATGCTGTGGACAGCAGCAGAAGCCCTAAACCCTAAGCTCTAAACCCGAAACCCTAAACCCTAAAAGCGGGCAAGAAATCGTCTGCTTCGTAACAACCGAGCCTGCCAGGAAGATGACGAGCATTCGGCTTTCAGAACCGGAAGCTCAGAGCGATTTATCCAAGGCCTCGGGAATTTTAAAATCCTGTAAGCCACGGTTTAGGGTTTAGGGTTTAAGCCACCAGGTTCGGGGGTTGGGATTTAGGGGTTCACTCTAAGCTCCGGTTCTGCGCGTCAATCGACGTA